TCTCCATTATCTAGGTTTACAGCTGCGAACACGCCATGGAATGGCCAGAATGTACTGTTTCTTTCTCCATCTAAGAGTTAAAATTATGCTCCGCTGCTGTCCTGTACACCAGAATTCTAGTTCCCTCTTTTTTGTCTTTTAGAGTAGAGGAACTCACACATTCGTTTCTTCTTTGCCCAGTATAATGTCTGGCAGAAGCAGCATCAGAAGCAGCATATATGCTGTGGTATATATTGCGCTGGCCTGGGAGTACGGGGTGCTAGTACATTCTAGCAATATTCTTCTGATATTGCTGATTGTAAAGGAAGTTTTCTAGTGAAGAAATGGCATTTTAAGCCTTACCCTTTTCTTAACAACAATGACAGGTGTGTCCCCCCTCCCTTCCGCATCCTTTGTGAGAAGGTTTCACCAACTGAGAATCTAAGGGTGGTATTGATATGACCCCTGTCTCTAAATTGTCACATCCCTACTGGCCACGCACATGAGAAGAGAGAAGTTGGTTTGACTGACCTTGAACTGCAGAGGAGAGAAAGGCAGAGCTGTCTGCTAATCACAGCGATACTGCAGGTCCGTAGTTACAGCTTATAGAGCATTTCACCAGCTCGGTTTTTGCAACGAAAAAGCATCCCACCTCCCCACCCCCAAGATCTCCTTGGGCAAGGGAATAAAAAGAGAAGTGCATGGGTGGTGTGTGCTTGTCATACAACTTCATTAGGCATTATTAAGGTAGCAGCAGAATGAAGTCTGGGTAACTTTTTTACAATCCGTCATATAGCTGCATCTTTACTCAATGCAAGGTTCAGTAAAGACCGTGTATGACTCTATTGATAAGCTGCAGTTTACTTTTTAAAAAAATCTGCATTTGGAAATACATACTCTTAAGGCCCAGTTCCTGCCTGCTTCTGGATGTAGCCTCTTGTTGGCGCCCACAGCCAGAGACTCTGATCTCCAGACTTGACTTTACGCCTCCGTGCGACTTCTGAAGTTCTTAACAAGTAGTTAGAATGTATAGCTCAATCTTCTTTCCCCTCCTTCTACCTCTGGGGGAAGAGGAAATCGAAACATCTCAGAGGCTGTTGCTGGGAGAAAAAAACAGATCTCAGTTATCCATGGACCATGTTATGAAACATACCTGTAATATGTTTTTTCGAAAACGCTTCTTATATCAGTCTTTGCCTCAGATGCCGTGTCTCAGATGCCGTGTCACAGACGCCCTCGTGGGGGAGGGAGGGCGGCTGGGTTATTGGAGCCCTTCTTTCGAAGCCTTGGAATCACAGACATCACCAGGTAGTGGTGCTTTGATGTTCGTTTTCATTCTTCGACTTCAGCAACATCGATGGCTTGCCTGCACTGGCTGGGGGTCAGACTGCTCTCTCCTCACCTGGCCAGTTGCCAGTGAAGGAAGCCCTGACCTTTGCCCTGTCCGGCCATGCCCTCAGGAGCAGGATTACCTTGGGCAAGTCATTCTCCCTCAACAGTTATCTTCTCTAAAAATGAAATGGTTGGACTTGGCTCTTTGAAATCTTCCCCTTACTAAATAGCTTGGGCTGACTCATGCCATGATAGTATATGACCCCCAGAGCTCTGTGGCCTTCAGGATCAAAGGCTTGTTTCTTGCCCACCTCATGTGTCTGCTGTGTCCACTGCCTTCTTTCCCCGGGGTTGAGGCTAACTGAGCTCAAGTCCCCACCTGGACACTGGGGAGACCGAGATGGAACCAGGCTCTAGCTCAGAAGACTTCTGCTCAGCAGTGGCACGTGTCACTTCCACCCCCGTTTCGTGGACCCCCAAGTCTAGTCACAGTGAATGAGGTGGGCGAGTGTGGCAGTCTCTGAGGGCAGGCCGCGTGGACAGCGGCCTCAAATGTTTGGTCCTGTGGCCTCCCATGCTCCTGTCACCACCATCCGTGGTTTATGCTGAGAATGTCGAGTCCACGGTAGTAGCATGGCCCACATGAAACCTTCAGGCTTTCATGTTTTTATGGCTATTTCCTGATCAAGGCACTTTTGCTGAACTGGACTTGAAATGAATGTTTCGTTTATGGGAAGGGTGGGAGAAATATTTAAAGGCTACATGTACTTAGCCTCTGAGTTCCTCACTTCTTACTGTGGTGGTACAGGCCATACATCTCAGAACATCCCATGGAATTTCTCTACCTGAGAAGTATTAACAGACCTGCCAGTAAGATCTAGTTGCTTAAGTGTTTAGATGAATTCCTCACATGTGAATTAGAAATCTTAGTTACATCTGTAAACGTTCAGGGTGCCCTATCGGTGTGACCTGGTGTGTCAGTTTTTAAAACTTTCTTTTCAGAATCTCAGGGGGAGGAAGGAACATGGAGAAGTCCCTCATTTTCTTGAGGTTGGATAGAAATATTCCAGATAGATGAGACTCACAGAGCCTGGTTCATAGTATCTGTCAGGTCCCCGCTGTAATGTTTAATATCACTGATAACCAGGAAGACTTTTCTCACCCAGAGAAACCTGCATTTAATCCATGAATTAATCTTCCCTGCAGATTCAAAACAAAAAACTTTGGAAATTGAAATTTTACCTTGATTCAACAAGCACAATCGTGTTCAGCAGTTCTTAGAGAAAGAGCGGAAACCTAACCTAAAACCGCTCGTCGGACCTCAGCAGTCAGATGATTTCCAGGTCTTTGAATATGAAAAATATTGAAAAGTTTTCCTTGTGAGCTTGGGTTTTCAAAGAGGATCCCTTCGGAAAGTTGGCAAATACTTACTTTCCTGGCATGAGGATTAGGTTTTTTTCCTTTTCCCCTCCACCCAGCGCTGTGACAGGGTGGAGTGTACTTTCATGAAATTGCATGTTTCCAAAATAGGACTCACTGTTACATTTTACTGCTGTTCGAATCAAATTGCTAATCAAAAATAAGCAAAAACCAAACATTCTAGAAATAGAATTTTGGCTCATCTTCTCTAATTTAGTCTTCATCTAGGATAGAATTATTATATTTTATAAATGTGCCCTTTGAGCAAAAATGCAGCAGACGGTTTCAGAAACCGTCCATCTCATTCTCGTTTCCTTGAGCTCACGTAGTAATATTTGCAATCTCATGTGGTAACGGCACCATATCATTAGCGCCGCTCAGAGTCTCTCGTAGCTTGGGGGGCTTCCAGGAAAGGGCCCCACATTCTTTGGCACCTCGGTTGTGTATTCCAGTAGAAGCTTGCATCCAACCTAAGTACAATACCGGGAATAACCCTGGCATTCCTTGTTCGTGGGTTGGCATTCACTGTCGCCTAGGATGGGATGGATCTGTAGGAGAACTTGCTCGTTATAGAAGGGATAGTTGTAGATGAAAGTTGGCATCAACAGGGGAAGACAACGAGAATGATTGTTTTGCTGGATTCTATGGATTTCTGTTCCCAAAGGTATCAGCTGATCATGTTCACTTCCAAGGTGGCATGTTGAAAATCTCTAGCTATGGCAGATAATGCCCAGATAAAACATTTTAAAATGTTTTATTTGTTCTTAAAAGTTGAATCCTTAATAGTCCACTAGAGAGAAAAACATGACAGCAATGGTCCAGGAGGTGATGAGCATCCCTGCAAGGCAGAGACTGTCTCAGACTTCTCCAGGATGTCCCTCGGCCTCTAGCCGACTTAAACATACAGGAAGTGCTTAATAAGTACGTTATATACATTAATTGATGTAGTCAAATGATGTGGAAAGGAAGTAAAAGTTTCGATTCGGTAGTGGACCTCGTAAAATGATTATGAATATTTTAGGTGAAAGAGAGGATGGGATTAGGAAAAATAGGTCTTTTTTTTCTATTACCTATTAAGTTTGACTAAACACAATTTTTAAATATTTCCCAGTGCCTGTCCTTCCAATCTGAGTGCAAGTTTTTCCCACCAGAGACTGACGTGGTTGTCTTTGCCTTGGCCAGGCGAGAAGTAGTCGAGACTCCACTGGGCTGGGCGAAGAGCCAGATTATTCCGTCAAGCAGGCGTTAGATCGCCGAGTGAGGATACCCATGATACAAGCCAGAGCCAGCGATAATTAGTTCTCAGTGCTGATTGCCTGTCTCCAAAGGAGTCGGGCTTTGGGTCACTCCAGAGTTCCCTTGATTAACATGTCAAAGCTAAGAAAGAGTAGAGAGTTATGGCTACCAGGAACAAAAAGCTTGTTAACGTTTGCCAGGAATTAATGCTGGAAGAGTCTGTCTTGCTGAAGAGGTGACTGTGTTTTAAAAGTATGATCAAAGGAAATGAAGTCCTGGAAAGTCAAGGTTTGGGGCGAGGAGATTTCTGAATGTTTAGGTAATTCTAAGAGTGTAATTTTATTGGCAAGGAGACAATACATTGCATTAGCTTCTAAGAGCAGTGGTCTCTTCTGAGGTTTGATGTTGTGTACGGGCACATTCTGTCCATCTATACTTCATTGGTTTGAGATGAAGTACAGATGGACGGAATGTACTTTGGGTTGGAAAGCTCAGTATTCCGTTAGATTAGATTTTTGTGAGTCAGAGACATGTAGGGCAAGCTTGGCCCCGTAGAGTTTTATCCTGCCCATTAGCAGGATTCCAAATATTTGGCCTATTTGTGATCTAGACTACCAAACTTAAGAGTTTAAAAACTGGTGTGTTTCCCAGTTTTTTTTCAGGAAGGTACACTGTAGAATGTAGCTTTGGTGTGTGTCTGTGTCATTGTGGGGGTCCAGGCATGAAAGGCTATTCCGATTCTTGGTCTCTGTTATGAAGAACTGGCCCTTATCAGTAGTTCATCCAGCTGGCCCACGATGAAGTGATTCAGTGAGAATGCTCTCAGACTCAGAGTGAACGGGATGTGGCACCTGCCACATCAAACAAAGATAAACACAGGCAAAAGTCACTTTCCATCTTTTAGAGAGCTGACCTTTATCAATATCACCTGTGTGTCCTGCTGTGGACACAAGGTTTTAGAGACATCACTGTGGTGGGAATGTGTCCCAAGTATGTGTTTTTAAGATGATTTGTTCCTCTATTCCCATGAACAGATATCAGTATTACCTGCAAGTCAAAAAAGATGTCCTCGAAGGACGATTACGGTGTACCTTGGAACAGGTGATCCGGCTGGCTGGCTTAGCTGTGCAAGGTAAGAGACAGTGACGTCCAGAGCATGAAATTCCATTTTCTGTTGGATTACGGTGTGGCTGGCCTCTCAGAAGTTCAGTTTACTTAAAGATCCTTTAGAAACTGTCCCTTTCCATCTCAAGTGATGTTAAAACTGCAGAGTTAGTGATTTTTAGTGGCAGGATGGTGGACTTCTCAAAGCTGTTTGCCCACTGCTCAAGCTTGTCTAATTTACTTTTATTTGAAGAAATAGCAGCTTTCATCCTGACTTTAATTAAAGCTACATTTCAGGGTTTGTGGAACATTTTCTCAGAATTATTTCATTGTCCAATGTCATATTCCGTGGCTTGATGTTATGACTCTGTGACTTTCACATCAGTTTCAAGTGTGATAGCTTTAAACATTATAGTATAATTTATTGTTACACAGCTAAAGAGGTAAATTAAAATGTGCAGTCATAATGTGAAACAAACATGTATTGCATTAAATTTATCTTTCAACCTATCCTACTTAGATTTATTGGACAGCTATTTTTTATCTTGTCTAAATTAACATATATTTTACATATGTTTATATAACGTTACATAATATTTTACATATATTAACACACAAATAAGTATTACTCTTTATTGAGTGGTGGCTTAAATGTCTTAAGTCATATTCCAAACAAGAAGATAAAAATACAATTTTTAAAGAGAAGTGTGGTTCCCTTTCAGTCATTATTTTCTTTAAAATCAGTTAACATCTAAAAAACCTGCCAGCTGCCGAGTCCTTGCTATGCGGGCTGTTATTTTAGAAGCTGTGAACTGAACTTCCCGTCCCACACTCTGGACTGCACTTGAATCTTTTGGTTTCTAGAGTATCTGAAGGGGTGGCCTTCCTTTGACCGCTTTCATTCCAGGGTATTCGCAGGTTAGCAATTTTTGTCGGCCTTCCAGTTCCTAGTAGTAATTCACATCTGTCATTACCCTGTGGATGTCCCGACAGAAAATATGTTGTATCCCATCTGTCTGCGTAAAGACCGGAAGAGGAAGGCACGGTAGCGACAATCCGTGGTTATAGCAGAAAAATCAGTAACATAATAGAAAAAGACACCCTTAACTGGGAGAAGAGAGAGAAGGTCCAGTATGTCCCTCGTCTTCAAAGTGGATCTTTCTTTTTTTTTTTCTTAAAAAAAAAAAAAAATCTTTCTATACTGGTCGCTTTCTTTGGTCTCTTTTTTCCCCTCTCATTCTTTGGTCAGTAGTCTTATTATGGCATCCTGGCTATGGGGAAACGCTGGTGATAGCTTTCAGGCCGAAGGAAGTTGGTGAACTTACTCTGGATGCTCTTCTCACTGGGTCCTTGAAGCTAGCTGTTGAGTGTGATGAAACCACCTCTAGCTATAATACTTGTAAAGCCATTTTCCTGAGAGCTGTTATTGGGCATTAGAAAGTCACATCAACAGAGATATAAGTTGTGATGAAATGTGATAACTGATGTCTAAACTTGAAAATAGGCAGAGCGCGTGATCTTTGCGATTCCTGAAGGCCTCACCTAGTTGGTGACTAGTCCTGTGCACGTGCCTTCTCGGCAATGTCTTTCCGTGGGCCTTCTGTGTGGGCCCTGGCATTCTGTAACCCTTGTTACTTTAAAGTTACCGGAATCCATTTTCACCTGATGCCAAACCTTTTACTTGAAATGAAAATTTCATGCTCCTTTGATTTTTTGTTTTTTTCTTTTGAGAGCAAGTGGGATCAGAAGCAAGGCGTTTATCGATTTATGATACAGACTTGCTATGTTCATTTCGCATGGGCTCAAACATACATGGCGAGATGAAAATAGGACAAAACAGAAGTTTTGGCATCTTGCACCGTGTAAAGATGGTTAGTAGGAGGCATAAAGATTTGCAAGGCTGCTTGCCAAGGGTGATTTACAGTGGGAATTTCCAGCTGCAAAGATATGAAGAGATGTTGGATAGGTTTGGCTCTTCAGTTCTCTAAATTAACCTTGCATTAGAAAGTCCCCCGGCAGACATTCTTAAGATATATGTTGATGCATCTTTAACATAAAGATAAATATGTTTGTTTTAAATTTTAAAAATAGTTTAAGAATTGCTTTCAAATTTCCCCATTCTTTCTAGAAAACGCTGATATTGACAGTATTGCTAAGTAAACATGGTAACAATAGCAAACACATCTTGGCACCGTTTTTATTTAATAACACTGCAGAAATAGGATGATGTGTGGAAAAATAAATGTGATAAGTTCACCCTCATTTATTCCATCTTTAATTTCATATGATGAATACTACCTCTCTCCCCTTCTTTTCAGCTGACTTTGGAGACTATAATCAGTTTGATTCTCAAGATTTCCTCAGAGAATATGTGCTGTTTCCTATGGTAAGTATAATTTCCTTTGTCTTAATTTTCTATCTTCTTTGGATTTGTAATTCTTTCCTTTGGAAATCCTAGACACACATATTCCCTGGGAAGGAAAGTCCATCAATTTATAAAGTACAGACAAGTTTTGTAAAACACTGAAAAAGTTAAGATGCCTCTTCCCACCTCCTCAAGACACTTTCCCGACTCCCACCTCCCCGCCACGCCCCAGCATCACTGTGACCTGCGCCCTCCAATGCCGTGGGTCTCTTCCTTCCTGGACACACTGAGCTTGTTCCCAAGCCAGAGCCTGTGCATTTGGGTTCCCTTTGCCTGGGAGTGCTCTGCCCCAGATCTTCCTATGACTTGTCATTCGGGTCTTGATTCAGATGTCACCTCCACAGAGAGGACTCTTTTTTTTCCTTGACTATATGATGCACTCCAGCTATCAACCACTAACTACTAAATCACCTTCTCTTTGTTTACTGAAAGAGCTCTGTCAGTACCTAAACTTTCCCTCTCTTGATTGTCAGCTAGAATTTCATCTCTGCGGTCCAAAGCAGGGACCCTCTGTCTTGTCCACTGTTGTCTGGCTTATAGCCTGTGCTCATAAAAATTCATTGGATGAGTCATGAAGTGAAATGTCCATTCCTGGGCTAAATTAGGGGTGAGGCTAGGTTTTAATCAGTAGGGAATTTTTAATTGTTTCTTTTTTGGTAGCTTTGGGGTAAATGAGAAGAGTGAGGAAGGATTAAAACAATTGAAAAGCATTGTTAGGGAAGAGTTATATCCACTCCAACATTCTGGCTCTGATTTTAGAAATGGTTATTCACCACTTATTTTTTTGATCAACTGTTTGGCCCAAAGCACTGACTCGGGTAACTAACCCCCCAAGGGATGAACTTATATAAGAAACAGTGCTTGTTCTCAGGGAGACAGCAGACTGGTTGAGTCAGTTGGAAGTTTGCAAAATCCAAATTCAAGGCCAAGTGTAATAAAGTCGTATATCAGGATTTTATGTGGGGGAGGGGTTACATGTGCATGAAAGATGAGGGAAGGTTTAAAGGCTAATGGTATGTGAACTGCGTCTTAAAGGATGGGCAGGATTGCCAGAGATAGAGAGCAAGGAATGATCTAGAGAGACAAAGGCAGAGGCAAGGTGGTGTGAGTGATTGGGTAAGAGTCAGCTGGCCAGTCTGACTGTCACTCAGGAGAGTGTGAGGGACCCGAAGGTGCCAGATGAGACAGAAACCTCTGAAGAATTGGAATGCATGGGCTCCGTCCAGGCCCCACGCTTTGAGAACTGCTGAATTGCAGCAATGAGACCTTTGTGGGAGGAGGTCAGATGAGACTCTGTTGTGGTTTCTTGGCAAGAGATGAGAATTAGGTGTTAGCAGTGAAGATAAAAACAAGAAAGCAAAGCAAGAGCTATTTTGGAAGTAAAATGGCATCTGATCTGCTGTGGCATCTGGGAGAAAGTAGCATTCCGGTGACAAAGGTTTCGAGAGGCTAGAAGTAAGGCTGCAGTCATTACCCACAGTCAGTGCATGAGATGAATTTAAGCTGGTCCAAAACTGACTTTGTTCGTACAGGCTAGAGAAGTACTGCCAGACCTCTAACTTCACGAATAGCACTATCCTTATTCTTTTTCCCCCAAAGAAAACAGAAGTTTATGTGCTGGGCCTGCTGGGTTTTGTCTTATTAATCTACCCATTGAATCAACCTCCATTCAAAGAGATGAACATATTACTTAGCAGAGAAATTCTTGACAGGATTTAGTGTCAACACGCTTGAGTCAACATCTCGCACATCTCAGAAGCTCCCCTGAAAAGTCAGGATGTTTTCCGGTTTGCTTGGTGGGAGGAAAGCGAAGCTTCTCTGACTGTGTTTTTTTTTGTCTCAAGCAGAGGCAATGAAATAGGTTCATAATCTTTCACTGTTACTTTTTTTTCTACCTTTCTTTCATTAATGGTCTAAATCACATAGCCTTCAAGGCTTGGGTGCTATTTAGAATTCTCAAAGCTGATTACCAGCGTGATATTTATGAGTTTGTAGATGGTAGAATGCCTCGACAGGTTAAAGTATGACACTGTAAAGCAGTTATTTTGTGTATTATACCTTTTTCAAAATAAGGCTGTCTCCCCACTGGGCTGTAAGCAAATCAGATACTTAAACAGCATAGATCTTGTTAAATCTCACAGGGACAGACAGATACGGATGTTCTTATACTTGGAGCTAAAGCTTCCCTCTTCAGGATAGTAGCTACTAGTGGCCGATGGCTATTTGCCTTCAAAGTCAAATTAATTAAAGTTTAAATAGAATTAAACATATAGTACCTCAGTTACATTTGCTACATTTAAAAAGTGCTCAGGTGCCACCTGTGGCTAGTGGCTACTGCGTTGGAAAGCTTAGATAGAGAACATTTCCAACATCACAGGAAGTCCTGTTGGGCAGCGCTGAAGATGATGTGGCAGAGGCTGACGTCAGTGTGTGCATCTGAATGGTGAATTCCTGGCTTTCGTCGTCAGCCATGTATCTTCACCAGGCCCCCACCCTCCCACCCCCCACTGTAGCCTGTGGTCAGGAGATTCAGAGTATGGGAGTCGAGCATTCAGGGCCCACATCCTGGCTGTCCACTCACTGGCTGGACGAACTTGGGCAGTTTACCTAACCACTTTCTCATCTAGTAATGAGGATAACAACCCTAATTCGGTGTGAGGATGGAAGGAGAGAATGTGTGTGAAGCTGGCACATGTTTAATCCTCAGCAAGCGTTTATTGTCACCTTCATCGTCGTCATCATCAGCATTAGCATTCTTGCTACCAGCATTATCTGTCTCTGTCGTGCAAGCCCGAGGATGCTGCGGCATGTGCCTTCCCGGCAACAAGACTGTAGGCTACAGCTTGACATGTAGGCAGGCCGAGGACAGGCGGAAGGTGCAACCAGCCATTAACCAGCATCGCACAATTACAAACTCTTGTTCGACAATATTGAGTTGAGTTCAGTAAACAGTTATTGATCGTTTACCGTACGTTGAGAGTTTACAAGCTGGCATTGTATGAAAGCCCAGTGAAGGGCCCCAGACGTGATAGGGAGAAGAGCGGCTGACCTTTGGTGCCTAGCATCTCGCAGAGGACAGAGCGAGGGCAAAGGGTACGATGAGCGTCCAAATAACCGTGTAAGAAGGATGGCAGGCAGACTATGGGAAAGGCTTTAAAAGAGAGACACGGAGTAGAAGAGGAAGGCCCCGAGGCGGGGTGGTTTAGATTCAGCTCGGGGGAACATGGAAGTCCCGTCAAGGAAATGGTAGCCGAGACTGGATCTGAAGGACAGAGTGGCATTTCGCATGATGCGATGTGATGGGCAGGGCGACTCTTCCAGGAAGGGGCGGCACACGTGTGAATGGAGATGGAAAGGCAGTCTGTCTTAGGAAGAAGAGTGTGCCCCTAGCCCGTGAGCCCCTGAGAGAGAAGTCCCGGAAGAAGTGGCCCGGTCACAGGGAAGTGGTCTGCGTGCCAGGCCCAGGTGTTGACCTAATTGAGTAGGCAGTGGGGAGCCATGGCAGGTTGTAAACTTTCTTCTTGGTTCCAGTAGAGCTTTCAAAGAGAAGAATGCATTCCTTTGGTGGGGGAGGGAAGATGGGATGAATGGCTGTGTTTGATCTTACAAAGTAATAGAATTTGTCGAACGGCATTTCTGCAGCAGAGAAAAGAACAAAGTTAAGTACACAAGACGCTCCCCAGGTGTGCAGCTGTGTACAGGCGTGCATGCTGCCATTTTTCATTTGTACAGGGCCACTGTCACTCATCTCTGTGGCAGGGGCACATAGCTTGGGGAGCCCCCAGATGCAGATCGAGGCTGTCATGTGAGCACAATAGCGGAGGGTTACCTGTGGACATTTTCTTCTTTAAAAGTAGGAAGCAGAGGTTTAATGCCGTACTTTTTGATCTTCATTTAATCCTTTTTATTTTACTCTGTTGCCTCATGCCTTTCATTAGCTTTTTAAAATGAGTATTGGATTCTTACTACTACTCAGTGCCTAGATGCACGCACACCGCACGCAGCTAAACCTAAGCCATGTGGTGTCTTTGTTATTTCGTAAAGTAAAACAAACTGTCGAGCTTATTTCCTACCATGACCTTGAGTCATTTCAATGGATGGCTCGACAGGAAACAGCAAATTAATCAGTTAACGCATAAAAAATAAGGCAGTTCTCTAAGGTGTCTCGTGAGCATCTGCAGAGCTGTAGAATGTCCAGTATATAGTTACACTCTCATTGTCCAGCTTTAAGAAATACTGATTTTTTTTTCACATTTTAATACTTCGAGGTGGGATGTTTCTTGCAGGTTTGAGATGTACCTTTTGGGAGGTAGTGTTTCATCAATGAGAAGTTGTGAAATTGGAGATAATCTTGATATAAATGGTATTTTAGAATCAAGAAAACATTTTGGATGCTTTCTGCCCAAGTGTCAGCCCCTTGCACCCCTACCCCCAACGTGACGATGCGGCTCAGACAGCTTCACCAGGACACAGTGCAGAACCCTCCCTTCTGATACTCGCTGTGGAGCTCAGAGGAAAATGGTTCATATCTGTTTTCCTCAGTGCCCGCCCGCCTGGGAAGGTCAGGCACCTGGGCCGCCAAAGGGGATAAGACAAGCTCTAGAATCGCCATGTATGTCAGTGTCTCGGGAACTGATGGCTCTGGTTTCTCTGTCTTGGATTTATTTCTCCAGGCTTCATTGCTCCGTCTCAGATACAGCTTTGCTGGGAGAAGTTTAACAAGCCCTGTAAATTCTTTCTCTGTCATTGAAAGGGAGTTGGGAAGAGATGTGTGCAGTTGGCTCTATCCCATGAGAGCCAACGTACCCCTGGTCCCAGGGGCCTGGGATTCAGCTGGGAGACTCCCGCTGGTCCCCTACACCACTGTTAACTGACAGAGCTCCCTTGAGGCGTTTTAGCCACCGTGGCCCCCTTTACTCCTAAGGCTCCATCAAGTAACATCCGAATGAGCCTGCTCTGCCTTCAGGTGGCTGTGACTCAGTTTGCTGGTATTGTAGTGGTGGACAAACGGGCCAGGCGCAGTCCCTTCCTAGGCTCCACTTTTGAAGGGACGATGGCCTGGAAACTCGTTTGCCTGTACCCTGATTGTTAAAAAGATGAAAACATTTTTAATAAAAGTGAGTCTGAGAGGCAGGCCGATAGGCAAGAAGGAGGTAAATGAAAAAAGAACTATTCCTGGACCTCTAAGTTATAGTGGAGAGCCCCCTTAGGAAAGTAAAAATGAACCCTCAGTGCTAAAAATTACTACCTTTCATTCAAAGGAGTATAGGGGAGATTGAGGAATTGAGGCTAATCAGGGCATCTTCTGGAGAAGAGAGCTTTTGAGATTTGCAAACAAGTGACCTTCCCTGCTTTTTGTTTGGGTAGGATTTGGCCCTGGAAGAGGCTGTTCTGGAGGAGCTAACGCAGAAGGTAGCTCAGGAACACAAGGCCCACAGGTAAGGCGTGCAGAGAGCAGGGGACCGGCACCTGGCTCCTCATTGCCAGGACGCTGGCTCGAGTCAACACAGTTTTATTTCTTCCAGTATGTGATTCAGCTCCGCTCTGAGAGGTGTGTGCAGATTTGAAAACTGCGGCTCACTCTCCCTCCCTCCTCCCCCTCCTCCCCACACACACACTTTTCTTCTTTAATGCCAGCAAGCCCACAGAGACGTGGAATCGGTGGCCAGGAGACTTCCCCTCTGGGACCTTCCTCAGAATCTGTTGCCAGACCTGGGAAGCCTGGAGCTGCTGCTTGTGCTAAGAGTGAAGACCTCAAAGAGCTACTTTGGGTGGGAAAGTCAAGGTCACAAGGGGAAAGGAGGGTGACTTTAGCCTGAGGAAGCGCTGAGACCTTGCTATCAGGACTACCGCTGTTCTTTGGGACCAAAGGGAAATAAACGTCCTTCCCTTCTGACCTCAGAAGACCTCCCGAAATATCATCCTCATAAACGTTTTATTGTTTTTTTCCTTTTTCCTTTTTTTGCTTTTTAACAGTTCAGATTTTTTTTCCCCAGGTAGGAGAAAAACAACTTTTTTTTTTTTTTTAAAGCAGGCAGCATTATTCTCAGGGATGTCTGGAATAATTATTTAGTGTTTTATAGGGCTGTGGCTCTTAATTAAACACTTCACCTTCCTCTTATTATTCCCAGTGAAGAAAAAGCTACTGGGGAATATGTTAATTAATGAATTACTTGGTAATGCACCATGCCCTCACAGTTGGGTGATGATTGCTTTTCCCAGAACTAGAGCTAAACCACAGCTCTGGAATTTGCTAGTAGGCGGGTAGGATCTTCCACTTGACTTTGCTGGCCCTTAACCATTTCCTCCTTTGCTGCCTTTTGATTTTAGTGGAATCCTGCCGGCCGAGGCCGAGCTTATGTACATCAACGAAGTGGAACGTTTGGATGGATTTGGACAGGAAATCTTCCCCGTGAAGGTAGCCTACCCTGGCTTGTCCTTGGCTTCACCCTTCTCAGAACGGCACAGACATTTGGGAAACCGGTGTCGATGGCAGCAGACCAGAACAGCGTAGCTGTCTTATTGCCACATGGCATTAGTCCAGTCAACTTTAGTAAAGTGAAGATTTTTTGGTAACTAAGAGATTTTGAAGTTTTCTATGGACTTCAGCAGAAGAATATCTCACTTATAAGACAACCTTGTGAGTGAGTACCGAACACCAGCCGATCTGGCGCCATGAAGGTATCAAGGGCACACATCCTGTCTCATCACAGGACGGGCAGCTAATAAGGTCGTGTGTGCCTGAGCAAAGGCCCCACGCTTATTCTCTCCCCTCTGCTTCGAGCCGGTACAGAGATTATGAGGTAGAATGAGCATTTCCTGAGTGCAGCCATGCTTTGTTTCTCCTGCTCTGTGGAGCCTCTGCTGAGGGTTTCCAGCCCCTTTGGTGGTTTCTGGAAGCTGTGCCTAGGAAGCGGGTACAGCACATCACGTCCTTTGCAACATTTCCACCTCCTGAAGTGGGTGTGGCTTGGGGGGGGCGGCGGGGAGGTCATAGTGCACTAGCATATACAGAGCTGAGCCCATAACCCAAACTCATTTTCCTTTCTCTGCTGACCAACTTTACAAAAGATGGAGTTTCATCAGAAACCTAAAGCAGCTGGCACATTTCAGCAATTTGGGAGATGCCTGCAATTTCAGCACAAACATTTCACTCCAAACTGGCTCCGCTGGCTGTTTTATCAGTGTTCTGTGGCCCCTCTGTAGCACGTTTGCAGTTTGCCTTAATGAGAACTGCCCATGTGCATCAAGTAGAATCGAGCAGGGTGGCCGCAGCTTGCGAAAAAGGCTAAATGGCTCTTTTTTAGATTTGTTTAATTTTCTTTTGCTTCTCTAGTGGCAGCCCTTCGCAGGGCTGTAATCCATTTTCCTTGCAGTAATGCCGTATGAAGCCATCTGCATCCCACTTACATTTCAGCAGCCCATAGATAGTCATGATAGTTCAGGTTATTGAAAAATCAGACTCAACTTTTCTCCTCTTCTAGAGAACTGACTTCTCAGTCCCTGGAAGTTGGAGGGTCCTTTTCTACCCCCTGCTTTTTTTCTTTAGTACTTCTGAATTGTGGGAAGCAGAGAGAGTGGAAATGGTGTTGAAATCCCCTGTGCTTGGTTCTGATGCACTTTCTAGTATGTTCTTTAGTGGAAAAGTCCACGGGGGATACTATACCTTCCTCCGAGTAGGCAGGCAAGCACTGCTGAGTCACTGGCAGTGGGCGTGAGTGAGCTGGGCTGCTGCTTTTTTTCCCCTCACACATCTGTTCAGGACTAAAGTGACCACCTGCAGGCCACGTGATTCCTGGCACCCTGGGGATGACGGGAGGGTCAGCAGTACCAGCGGTGGGCAGTGGGGTGGTCAGCGCTGAGACAGTGGAAAAGCAGACAGGGGAGTGTGCAGGTATAGACGGAGTGGTGCGGCAGTGCCTTGGGGTTCATACGGGTCCTTGTTGACCAAGTAAAGTAAAAGAGAATGTTCTAGATGTGTCCTAGGGAAGCACAGTTCCAGTTAGCGGGGGCTTTTCCCTGAGTGGTTTCTCAAAAATTTTCAAGGTTGGGAGGTGCCAGTCCGTTTCCAGACAGATCTGCCGTCCTCGTCCACAGACACAGGTGTGGCGGCTTGTCTCAGTCTCTCTAGTGCTGTCAGGGCCCTCGGACGTGGGGAGGGCGCTTCTGGAATGAGTCACACAGAGCCGGGAGCCTTGATCCTTGGCTAAGTGAACCTGAAGTTGTGGCCGGTGCAGTGCCTCAGGCGTCCGTTCTGCCCCGCCCTGATGGACAGCTTTTCCTGAGTCCCCATCACCGTCAGGCTTCTGCACCAATCTGCTGGCAAAGTGCCCGGGGAAATCTTGCCACAGAATTTTCCTTTCTCTTCCCGTCTCCACGTCACCTGTCTTCTTGTCCCACGTGTATTTTTCTGTAGGATAACTTACTTTTAATTTCCCACAATCACCAAGGCACCGTTCTTTCCCTCCTGACGCTCTTTCTGCCACCAGCAGTCGTCTCATGCTCTCTCTGTCCGTGCTAGCAGACTCCCGTTCTGATGGAGGCTTTGGTAGGTGGGTCGAGAAGAGGTCACTGAGCAGGGACACTGTCTGTCGTCTTTGTGTCTTAACTGAGATCAGTATCATGAGGAATGCAGAGGTCCTTCTTGTCCATCCATCCTGGGCCTAGTTGTGCATGGCCTTCCTCTTCCTCTTGCTCCGTGAAAAGGAACAAGATGACCCCGCTATGAAAGCCGGGGGCTGGCTGACAGTTTACTCACTGGATATGGAGCCTTGTTCCCACTCTGCTCTCAGGAGCGCCGGCAGCCAGGTCACGTCCTCCCAGGCAGGAGGTTGGAAGCACCCGGCTGCACCCAGAACCCAGACTGAAGATGAGACATCCGGGTTTCCCCAGCACCAGGCTGAGCAGATTGCCCAACAGTGGCGTCTGCGGTCCACGTGCCCCTCCCATGCTCAGTCAGCGTTTAGCGTTCCACCCTGGGACGTGACTAGACAGCCAGGTGTCATCCCGCATGATGCCCTAATAGAAACGACAGAGGCCAACGGAATGAGAAGAGAGCTGCCTGGAAGAGGCCGAGACCCTGCGGAACGGAGAAAGAAAGCCCTGCTCGAAAGACCATCCTCGGAGTCTCAGAGGTTAAAAAAGAAAAAAGAGAAGAAAAATATAAATAGAAAAATATAAAAAGATCCCTAGTTGAAGGGATAGGTTGCTTTTAAAAGTGAACATTCAGATAATAAAAAGGAACTCTCAGAAATTAAAAATGTGATGTCAGAAGTGGAAACCTTAAGAGATAGGTTAGAAGATAAAATTAAGAAAAATCTCACCAAAAAAACCCCCAAAGTAACGGAACGTGGGAGGCAGGAGATAAAATCAGAGGGCCAGCCTAGGATGCTGCACATCTGAATGATGGGTGTTTTACAAGGAGTGAACAGAGGAAACAGAAGGTAGTAAACATCCCATTCCTGAGAAAACAGCCCAGGACTGATGAACATGAGGTTCTAAATTGAAAAGCCGAGCATAGTCGATGTGCAGAGACGTACACTGGGGCTTTAACTGGTAGAAGAAGCTGGTGCATCTGAGGGAGAGGAAATCGTGGGGCCAGGTCTGCTGCCGTTGGCCTCTTTCAGACAAGCTCTAAAGAATATTCAGTTCTTCAAACCGTGTGCATCTATTATGGCACATATGTAATGAGCAGATAAAATCAAACTGTGCATGTACGATTTTGATTTAAAAAAACGAAAGCTAATGGGAAAAGATATTAAGGGTTGTTCATTAAAGAGAAAATCCAACTGCCAACGCATCTGAGAAAATCCTAAAATTCTTTTAAACAGGAAATGGGTCACGGCAAACTGAGGAAAAGGAAAAAGTATACACAGAGTCTATTAGGATGTTCAGGGGGGTGCGTCCCTTCGGGATCTGGTTACTTTATTGCCCAGATGCTGCCTGTGATTCATTCCATGTATGGGTGAGGAGTGGGGCGTGGTCCCACGGGTAGGCTGCAGCCCAGATGCTGGGTGCTGCCAGGCTGCTGGTGAGCCGCTTCATCACAAATTGTCTTTTGTTGATCTTACGCAGGACAATCATGGAAACAGTGTGCACCTGGGCATTTTCTTTATGGGAATTTTCGTGAGAAACAGAATTGGAAGACAAGCTATAATACACAGGTAGTCTTATTTGTTTGTTTTTTTTTTTCCCCCTTTTCCCCCTTGAAGGGACTCTGGAAGAACCCACCGATCATGAGAGTTATATATACGAGTTAAAAGTCACACTGTCCCTCAGAGTTGAGCTTTTCTCAACTCAGTTAAGAATAGCCCTCTGTGGGATTTAAGTGGTTATGGAGAAATTCATCTCACTTTTCTGGAAGGCCTGTTTGAGGGGAGGGGTAGGGATGGGGGAAGCTTTCTTCCCACCCGACTCGAGGAAATGCATTGTTGAACCTCACCGAGCCAGAAGAATGGGAACTAAATTTTGTGAGTTGGTTGGAAACAGGCCCTATCCTTGAGCAGTCATGAAATTCAAACTGGCTTCTTCCCCTTGTCCTGCACCATCTGCCTAAACCACAGGTGCAAACTAGTGTTTTTTACAGTCACGAAAGGCTAGTTGTGAACGTGCTTTGAAAAAGCAATCAATTTGTTATAAATTTTAAAACGTTGGTACTTTTTATTATTCTGACACTTTAACCCTCTTTTCCATTTAACAAGAGTAGAGCCAGCATAGGCGTGTGGCAATGTCCCCTCCAGTCCACGTCAACAAGCTTGCTTTGTATTGGTGCCCGTAGGTTCCACGTAGTGCCAACGATCTAAAAAATTGCAGGCTTGCTTTGATTTACAAGTGACTGCGGCCTGTCATTTGTGGGAAGAACAGCTTCCTTGCGTGTGCATCTCACAGGCAGAGCTGTGCGCCTAGGGCAGACGGTCCGAGACAGCGATTAGAGGAGGAGCACAGCCTGCCTTCTGGGAAGGCCTGGCCAGCCACGTCCTCTCGGGATCCGCAGTTGCTGCAGGTCACTTTGAGAATGTTTTCCTACCGAGAGCTTCCTCATTGGCTCTCCCCTGGCCCCGGGTCCCCACCCGGCCTTTATTTTTGTACACTTATTTTCTCTTGCTCTTTGGATATTGAAGTGACAATGCGGGGAGAGAGGGCTACAGGATAAATTTTTGACTTTTGGGTATATTCAGTCAACTCCAGTATACCTACAACAAATTATAAGTTAATTGAGTAACATAGAGAAGGGTGTGCAGAGTTGTAACTAAAAAGTTTTGTCCTCATTTAAATCTTTCCAGGCATTTTGTCTCATATATTTCTCCATAACTAAATCAGTGCTTTGGTTTTTTTCCTTGAACCTGGAGAAGTAGAAGAGTCTCGCATTATAGCTATCGAGGCGAAATACGAAAAATAAAGTGATTTGAAAGGTCGTTGATCATAAGCTACTCACAGTTTTCTTAGGAACGGCTTCCAGACCTCTTCCATTGTGTCATGTTAATTATGCCACTAGGCGAAGTCATAGGGTAGAGTGAGGAGTGGATTCAGAGTTTTGGCAGTCGATTTGACAGAACAGAGCCAGAGGAAACCAAATAGGTCTTATCTCTAGAGACCGTCACTGAGGAGCATGTAACTCTGAGTCCATGCAGATGCAATCTGATGGAATTGCAAGTCGGCAGACAGCTGTGCTGAGCACCTGTAACGATTATGGCCCCAGCCGATGTATGTAAACACGTACATGGAAAGGCGACTGGAGGGAAATCTGAAAGCCCCAGGTCTACAAGTCATCCATCCCTAATGAGCTGTGTGAATGTGGTTAAGTCACGTACTCATCTATTAAACCACCTCATCTCCAAAGTAAGAACAGAAATAGCTGCCTTGTGCACCTTAGGGAGTTGATAAAAGAACCGTACTCTATACAAATGGGAGGCAATATTATCACTTTTCATTCCCTCAGCAAACATTTATTGCATGCTATGTGCCAGGTACTTGGCACAGTGCTTGGAATACAGAGGTGAAGAAAGCAGATCTCCCCGAGCATGCGGCCTGTGGTCAGCTTCGGTTAAGTTAGGGATCTAGTCATGGAAGTAAACAATCGTAATACAATGTGGCAACTGGTAAAGGATGACACCAGGTTCTTTCCTAGCGTGTGGATGGCTGACCATGAGCAAGGGCTTCCTGGAGGAGGAGGTGGCTCCTGAGCTGAGTCTTAAAGGAGTCCTCCAGGCAGACGGAGAAGTGTGATAAGTATAAGCATGATGGAGCGAAGTCAGTGGGCGGGAATTGTAGGTGTGGGTGCAGAATGAAGGTCAAGTAGTAGTGAGAGAAGGTGAGAAATACTGACTGCAAGGAGAATAGGAAGTAGCAGCTTACCTTGCTTTGTCTGGTGGTTATTTCTGTGTATCTCATTTTAGAAAATGTCCGCATGAGGAAAGAGAAATTGTGTGTGTGTGTCTGTGTGTGTGTGCCCTAGGCATTTTTTTCTAGTTGGCATAATTAATAATGTCCATTGCAACACAGAATCTGTGTGGGCTCTTCAGCCTAGGTTCCGGAAGACACATGACTTTTAATAATGTGCTCCTTCATCATTAGAAGCCAGGATCTTGGGAAATACTTTGTCATTTTCACATTTGGAAATGTGAAGAACAAGGCAGCAGAAGTCCCTCGCAAGTTTTCCTCATAGCTAGTCATAAAGGAAACAATAATTTAGGAACAACAGTGTCTAGATACAGTTTGCATAGGATCTTTAGCTATTTAAGTAGATGCATGTTGCATTTTCTGTACTTTTCTACCTTGAGAGAAGGAACATTTAGCTTTTAAAAATATAGTTAAGTCATAATTTGTAAAATTAGGCCCAACAGGAGCCGATGAGACCCGCCCTTTGCGGATTCATAAATGCGGGGACCGTCTTGGGGGCAAACGCGGTTGCATTTGTTTTGACCAGGTGGAATGATATCGGGAATATCACTCATAACAAGTCGGCCATTCTCGTAGAGCTCATCAAAGAGGAGACCACGCTCTTTCACACGGTAAGTAGAGTAGACGAAGGTGGGGTCCGCAGGCCGCTTGGTGTTTGACTCAACTCGTAAGAGCCTCTCCTTGCTTCCCATATCTCGAGAGGACAAGTAGTCCATTGAACCGATAACTTTCCAGTATTTGCCCAGTGCTGTCCTTACTCGTTTCAGGATAGTGGTCGTGACCTTCTGTTCAAAACGCCAGCTTTCCAAGCTGAGTTTTGACTCTCGGATTTAGAGATTCCTCCCCTCGCCTTCCTGGTGATGGAGGGTTCACGTTGTCTGGCGTGCCGTGGTCCTCAGCATGCTGGTTACAGCCCTCAAGTCACCCCTGATTATAGTGCACAGCATTTTCTTTTGCTGGCTGACTGGATTCTTTCCCATTATAGTCCAAGCCTCCTCCGAAGGTGCCTGAATGATGTCCCTTCTGTCGAGGGCCTCCGCAAGGGCCAAGGCTATTCACGCATCTCACTGCCTCTCGGTTACTGGCGCTTAGTGTTCCTTCCATGCTCTGCCTCAATTCATTTATTTATTTTTAAAGCACTTGGTTTGAGATTCTGAGAAGACATGACAGTTCAACTGCGTAACCCCAGGGCCTTGGGCGAACAGGATGCTTTAGCAAGCAGTATTGTCTGTCCTCCTTCACTGGGCTTCATAGGCATGGCTGCCACTGAATGTCAATATGTTGGTTCGTGGCTCGGGGTGTTATTTTGTGCTCGACCTGTGGGGGAGGCAGAGGTGTATCCCCGTTTAGAGTAACCCTAGTAAAATGCATATACAATCAAACACATGTTCATTTTTTTTTCCCCCTCTGTCTCTTCATTTCCAAGGATGATATTGAAAATGCCAAGTATATTTCTCGGTTGTTTACTACACGGCACAAGTTTTACAAACAAAACAAAATCTGCACTGAGTAAGTAAACTTTTAGTCCGCTCTCTGCTCGACGGCTCGGCCACACTAAATTCATGTGCTTCAGGGATTCCGTAGATTGCTCTTTCCATTCACTCTTTTCCCTCATTCCTTATAGAAGCTAAAGGACTAAGCTAAAGCCAGGCGGGAGCGAAAGAACTTGAGTGATGAGCACTGTGTGCTGGTGTGTGTAGCGCCTCTGCCTAGAGAGCAAACGATTTGCAAATTGACTGTGACTGCTCGGCGGCCGCCTGGATGGGTCAGCCCACATTAGTGCCTTTCCAACCTCTGCGATGAGTTTGGAGGAGCCGAGCCGTTCCCAATTTGCCAGGGTGCCCCTTCGTGTCAGATGCGCAGGATGTTCAGAGGTGTGTGGCAGAGTGACGAGCCAGCTTGAAAGAGAAGACGCTCCTGTCATCCTCAGCCCCGTTTCGCTTACACAGTTGGGTAACCCTGCGTGTGCTTCTGGGTCATGTCATCTGCCTGTAAATGAGAGGCCAGGGTAATTAGAGGAAGACTTGGAAGACGCTAATAGATGTCACAAATCCGTGTGTGTGTTTTAAACTTAATTTGGAAATAAAGAGAGGCTGATGAGGGAACTTAAATGTGACCTGACCTTGCATATAGCGTGCTGGGACTCATACTCTCGTTGCCTTTACTTTGGTTGCCTTCAAAAGGCGTTCCTCGGCAGAGCCCATCAGCGGTTGGGGCGCCCAAAGTGTTTAATTTCGTTTCAAAGAACTTCGGGGACGTAAATGCAAGAGAAGAACCGCTTTTCCACTCCCCCAGTGGACAGCCGCATCCAAGGGCGTCAAGTCTTGTCCTAAAGCAGTT